TGCGAACAAGAGCTCTAATTAGAATTGAATTTGAATAATCACGCACCTCGATTGCCCATGAAGGTGAAAACATCTAAATGACTGACATTAGGTGGAATTTTTTGCCGCTGGCGATGTTGCTTGTCAATTATGCGACAGACATTTTTGTGGCGAACTCAACTATTTTACATTTCAAATGAACGCAATGCGCATTACGTATACGCAGCGTGTGTGGCAGCGTATTGCACAGGGCAGAGCAGTGTTAATAGAGGGACAGCGGCAGGAGCAGGGCTAGGGGCAAGGGCAAATATAGCCCCGAATTGAGTATAAATAATGTAAAATTTTGGCAAACACGCGCTGTCATTTTGCATATGCCGAGCTCTCTTGTGCGCCTAATGAGGCGCAAAGGATTCACTGAAATGGGACACACACAGACACACACACACACACACGTAGTCACATACACTTAGCGTCTATTTCAAAGGTGGATAGCATCAAATAAAGGGAGCAACAGAGCGTGACGAGACAGCGGCAAGATCTCGAAATGGCTGAAATCTGTAATTTTAACACTTTAAAAAGGAGATTCAATTTGATTACGCACACAGAAGCATTCGCATTCAAATTGGCAAGCACATTAACATGCAAATGTGTATAGCACACACACACACATACACACGCGCGAAGAAGAACGAGTAAGACACACAAACACGCTCAGACACTTAAGACACTTTAGATATAGCATTTAATAAGGATTACACCAACGGAAAATTACGTTTAATGTAAAGTTTTTGCTTGACTGAGTTTTCATTGGCTGCGCCTGTCTGTGCGTCTGACTTAACTTCAGGGAAAAGTGGAAACTGAATTTCATCGTGGATGCGCCGCCAGGGAATTCTGCTTTTAAGCGAGCTTTAATGGCACAATTTAGATAAGCGTCATACAATGAGAGCCGAGCCCTCTGGCTACAGCTACGCCCACATTCATTGCAGAATTCGTAATCAGTATCTGTATCTGTATTGTTTGCATGATTGATTTTGCGGCTTTCAGTTGAAAATGTTCGTTGTTGCCTTATTTAATATCAATGTCGATGTCTTGCACATACTCAAAAACCGTTCAATTAAGTGGCATCCAAATAATTTCAATGTTGGCTAAACTCGACAGCAATTTGGGCGCACTCAGCTGGCTCTTGGTCACCGAATAGGCGAGACGAGGCGAGTTACACTAATGAGTACTTATGCCAGACACAAGCACACATCAACGTACATATATGTGTATGTATGTGTGTATACATTGAGTAGTCTAGTACTTGTGGGATTAAACAATCGATAGTGATATACACACACACGCACACACACACAACCACACCCACAAACCCACATACAAAGGCCAATAAATGCTGCCTATAAGCATTTTCACACTCTCAACATGGAATTGAATTACACATCAAATGCAGAAACTCCCACATACTACATACATATGTATCTGTTGCACACACAAATGTTAAACGATGACAAGTGCTTTGCGACTTAATGAACATAATCTCTAAAGTTGTGGCCAGCAACGAAATTAATTAACGATTAATCGATTGTCAATTGCATGAGATTATGTATTTAGTCTGGGAAGCTTACACAGATTTATACCCAGATCGATGCGATATCTGAATATTTAAATACGAGCTCTGATCACAGCATTGTTATAGCCAAAACTATCATCACTGAAAATCAAAATAGGCTAACTATTGTGTACGATTTTTGGATCTCTAGATCTTATAGGTCCTGAGATCGATACGTTTAAACTTATGAACAAATGGATAGAGAGACAGATAGATTGAGAAATAGATAGATAGATGATGGATATATAGACAGATAGAAAGATAGAAAGAGGAATATATAGATATAAAGACAGGTAGATAGATAGATAGATATGTATATAGATGGATACATAGATAGATATGTATATAGATTGTTAGATAGATAGATAGATAGATGGATGGACATATATAGACAGACAATAAGGTAGATAAAGATGTTTTAGATTTTTAGGTAGAGTAGATATCTTATTTCTAATTTATATGTCATAAAATGGACTATGAGCTACTCTTAATCACTTGATTTTTATGACGAATACTCAAAACTGGACATGTACTATAACCAAGTGTATATTAAAATGCAATTGAATTTGAAGCACCAGCGTAATGGCGCCTAATAGCTGTGCACACAACGATGGCGCAGTTCTGTAGTGGATAGCTCATATGCATAGAGAATCAGTTCAGAATTCGCAGCAATGACGTGTGTTGGCTTCTGTTTAGGACTGTGCTGCATTCTGGCCGCCAGATTCAGTCCGTTAGTGGAAGTCGAAGAAGACCAAAAGTTACTTTTCGCTGTTGTTTCTGAGTTGCATCGAGAGCTCGGGATCTTCAATCATCTCATCTTCTCTGGAAGTCAGAAGAATGCTTCTGTACAACAATCTCTAATGGAAAACCTTAACGGTTCGGTCATTGTGGCTGGCCTGAAAATCGGGAAACTTCATTATAGTATCATCAATGGCAAGAATATTGCTATTGTGTTTTTCAACGGACTCGATGATCCAATACTTGGCGTAGTGTATAGCTCTTTAGAATATCTAAGGAGCATGTGGATCGTATTTGTGTACAAAGTGAATTCAAATTTCTTGTTCAGTTCGAATTTCACAGAAATATTGTTTAATTGGTGCTATACTAAGCACATGCATAATACCATGTTGGTGATGGGGCATGAGCTTTGGACATATGAAGTTAAATCGACCCTAAAAGTGCTTAGGCTTTCTCCAGGTTCCATTAGAGAGGCCATAAGCATTCAAACTTGCGATCGCAATGGAGTCCAAAATCCAAGAATTTCGGTAACTCTTTACCAAAGTTTACCAGATGTATTCATGGTGAGTTTTCGTGGTATGTAGGTGGAGTTCAATGAATATGATTCTGTGTGCTTACCATTGCAGTACAACTCATCAAATGGCATCCGCTTGGGCGGTGAAATTGGCATTCTATTGGAAACATTTATAGAGAAAATCCACGGTTCTATGGACATTCGGCGAATTTCATTTGATGAATATATGGAAAGAGTCTTGTTAGGCAATACTCACATTGACATCGGAGCGAATATGCTATCGGACTTTGATGGGTCGTTGTACAGCCCGGTGTGGAAGATGACACAGCTATGCCTCGTGCTGCCCAACGAATGCGGGAGTTTCATTCAGTATTTCAGTGACGTCTATGAGCAAAAGTTTACAGTTATGTGTTTCATGGTGTTTTATACTCTCTTGAATGCTCTGATCATGTGGATCATCAATCCGCGGGCGCCACTGGGCAACACACTGTTCAATAGTGCAAGGCTCACCATTGGGCAGGGCGTGGCAGACCGAGCGTTTCGTCGCCTCAGACTGCCTGAGAAGATTATCGAGATTTTTACGCAGATCTTTACGCTTCTAGTCCTAAGTATTGTAACAGGAGCCGTGACAACAGCGCTCATCACAGGCGTGCGAAGGGCTGAAATTGTGGACCTCGAAACGTTTCTGGAGAGCGGACTGCGAGTTATGGTCTATTCTAACCAAGTGCAGGACGAGTTTAACTACTTACTGCCATCGATTCAGACGCGTTTCCTTTACGTGGACAAGCCTGAGAGGGATCGCCACCTATACAGCCTGAACGACAGCTATGCCTACCTCATGGTGACACACAAGTGGCAGCTATTGGAGTATATTCAGCGGCGTCTCCACAAACCCAAACTGCGTCTCGCCACCGGGAAGCTGTGTAGCAGTGAGCGTTACATCCAGCTTTATGTGTGCAGTGGCGCGTGCTACGCCCCAGCCTTGGAACACTTTGCGCTGAATGCATACGAGTTTGGACTAACCACGGGGTGGATGCAACAGGGATTGCGCCAGGCCGAGCAAGCTGGGCTTGTGGCCAAGGAACCTTACGAGCCACCTACTCTGAGACCATTGCCCCTTGAGTTTTATCGACGAGCCTATGAATTATACGGTTTCCTATTGGTGCTCAGTCTAATTGCGTTTTTGATGGAATGCCTCATTGCATATTGGCGAACTGATGATGCTATAATCGTGATTTAATCATGATGTTTGCTTGAGTATCAGATATATATATAGTATATATGAATATGTATGCATTGTCAACTCATTTTTTCTTCTTTGTTAAATAAATCTCTCATTGCTTCAGCTATTGTGATCGATTTTGAATTTGATTTTAAATAAAATGCATAGAATGAGAGGTCAGAGTATCATTTAGTCGGATACTCCCGACTAGAACACTGTGCAGGCATTTGCTATAAATTTATATAATCTGAATATAGTCAACAACAACTCTTTAATTTAAAATAATGAATAAAATAACTCTAGTCTAGACAGTATAATTAATGATAGTTGGCATTTTTATACAATATCCAATTGGTATGTAGTGACATCCAAATGGCTAATAATATTGTTTGTTTAGCTCTAATGTGTCAAGTATAACAACTATATGTCATATTATAATAGACAGTTGCAGTTTCATTAATTTTTATGAATAGCGCGCCAGGGTTGAAGCACCAACTTAATAGCGTTTAATAACAATGCAAACAAGCATGCCACAGCCTTCAATTGGCTAACTTGAACGTGAAACAGTGGAGAATTTACAGTGAAAAGGTGTGCAGGCCTGGTAGATGACACAAGACAGCCAGCACTGAAAACTAAAGAGGAGCTGGTTCGATTATAATATACTAACTCAATAAGCCAGGCAGAGATCAAGTGATTGATATACCAATCTGTGTTTGAGACATTCCATAAATCGGTGTTTTTAGCTGATCCTGAGATGAAACATCCATATCCTGGATATTACAGTAGCGCTCATACGGTTATTGCCACGAAAATTCTGCTCTCCAGACAAACTTATATGAGTCTGCCAGTTATAATCGGTTGCTACTGTATTCTAAGACTTTTAAGCATTCCAATGACTGAGAAAATAAACTATTGATTTTTTTTTTATATATATAGACAACATATTTGCAAATAATTTTTATAAGCTTCATTAATCATTATCCGACAATCAGAAGATCTATAGAAAGAAAACTAAATGAAACATAGGTAAGACATGATGCCATTGAAATCTATTGAATATACTGTCTGAATATACAAGTCAAAACAAAAGCAAACTCTTTAAATGCTTATATAAACTCTGTGTATATTGCAGTAAATATTCAGCCGCCTATAGTTCTTTATGACTGAACATGCATCCATAATGCTTAATATCATTTTAAACGTTCTCATATTATATTCATGCCCACGGATCGAGAGGCATTATCCATTAAGTAAGGGACGGCGCTCTGTCAGCTGGTTAATTGCCGACTGCTGTCCATTGAATGGGACTGGGTCTACTTCAGCCGTAAGTGCATTTAAATGCATAAGCCATTTAGCAAAAAGAGTTCTTGCTTTAAAATGCAACTGCATTTTAATGCCTTTCATGACGGCCATTGACAGCCAGTGGACTGCAACATTTTAATGCAAGCGCACATATTGTCACACGAGCATGGGGAAATACTCTTAAATGTGATCTGTCCTTGACGAGTCATACGAGCATCCCATTAGTCGCGTCTACTGCACGAGTATGCCGCACATTTGCATGAGACCCTTGTTGGATAAAGGATCTCTTTGAATTGAAAAAGGCCTAGCTCAAGTAGTTATTCAGCGCTCAGTCGCTTGATGAAGAATAGAAGCTGAACTCAGTTTTGAGTTGTCAATTATAAAAGCAGATTTTAATAAATGTATATACATATATTTTTATTTAACAAACAGTTTTCCATGTCATACAGAAGCAAGTGAAAAGTCAGTGAGTTTGAAGACTAAAAATAAATTTCTGTTTGTTGAAAGCTCA